TTTTAATCTTAATTTCAATGCGAGTTAGCGAGATAGTAACATATATAATGGCATTGTATACATATTTAAAACAAACAATATTTCTTCATTTAAAATAAATATTTATGATGAAAAAACTGTCTAAAAAATAACCTATTTTGTTTGGTTTATTACAAAATATATCACCAAAGTAATATTATGAATTCGATGTCTGATTGAAAAGTTTAAAAAAAATCATTTGAATACTGACAAATGTAATTCGATGGTTATTACTACTTTAATGACTATCAATGAGAGAGCAGTATGGTACAAAACCTTGCACCTACCTAATATGGTATCAAACGACATAAGTTTCGAACTATAATTATTCTTCTAGTTTTAAAGTAATAAAAAACACTAACACAAATTTTGTAATTTCAAAAATCTTAAATTATGACAGAATATAAAAATAGTAGGCATATACATTTGCACATTAAACTTACTTAAGGAAAAGTTTTGCATTGAAATTTGCAATATTAAATTTAGAGACTGGATTTGATACCTATATAACGGCTTATATTTTAAAACAAGTCTATTTACAATGCAGTAATGCACTACACACAATGCCACAAATAAACATTTAGAAATAATAACAATCATTATGTATTCATTGATGATTTTTGTTTTCAATCCATATTCTTTGTTGCTATATTATATAAAAAAATCGATGAACATGTCAAATATTATGTCTGTTAGTTATGGATATAATAGAATGTATTATTCTCGTTTATCAAGCACAGAACACAGTAAATAATATTATTGATTTTTGTACGTCAAAAAGATTGAGTACCTATCAAGTAATTGAAATAGAAAACTGTATCTAAAATTTACAGAAAAACAAAAAATATTTTTTATATTTTCAATTTTCATGAAATTATTTATATTTAAGAAAAACGATACGAATTATTCATTTCAGTATATATAATATAAAAATATCAACAAATAGAAGAAGAGGGACCCTCCCCCCTGTACCATCCCACAATTCAGACACTGCAGAAATCCCTTTAGAAATCGTATTTACAAGTTGGACCATTGTGATTTCCCTTTTTTTTCTATGATAACTTTAAGTGAAAAATTGAAAACATATGGTGGCCCACTTAATCCACATTAACTCATAATGAACATTTTTTGAACTACAAACACTAACTTACTAATCTGTAAACTCCACGTCAAATAAACAAAGACAACAATTGAGTTATTATATTATTTTTATGCCTACTTATCAATGTATTAAGAATACTATTTTCCTTACGAAAAATCCTGAATAACTTTCTAATATTATAGTTACTTCGATCCAACAGAATAATATAAGACAAGTATTCGTTGTGTCATTCATTGTTAACCATATCAAAGTATGAGAATTTGCTATAATTTTAAATGATTAAGTTATTTTTACATTTATTTTTTATTCCAATAAACAATACACAATTGATTTATGCTATCTATTATCGGCGCCTACATACTACATACACAATATACTATATTTGTATATATTTATTCATTATTGTTATTATATTTTATCCTTAAGGCTAAATGCCGGTGGCTAATATCGATTTCTATTATTTTATTACCAATAATTAATTCTGTAGTGATAAAAAACCATGACTGTACAGTTAATTACGTATAAATAATTGTTTTCCTATTCGAATATGTATAACGTATTTCACTGGTGCAACACTATAGCAATACTATTTGAATAATTCTCATTATACATTTTGTAGTCACCTATGTACCTAAATGTATTAAACGTAATTTCATAATTTTTTATACAAACTCAGAAACACTGGCCGGCTAATAAAAATTTATTTTTAAACTGGTAGTGATACTGTGATAGAGAATTTTTACATATCATATATTTTAATGTAATAATGATGTAACTGACATCATTGTGCCCTACTCAATATTGATCAGATTATGTACTATATAGTCTGGCTACAAGGTAAACAGTTTACAAAAGGTTGCTTTTGGTACGAGGGATGAGAAAAACTGCTTTATTATATTTATTTTAAAATATTGAATTTAAGTGTTGAAAAGAAATAAAAAACAAAATGTAGGAATAGTTGTATACATGTATTTTTCAAGACGATAATATCATACTAATTCTTCTCATGCGAGTTATGTTAATTTTTGTACAAATTAATTTTAGTTAATGATTATTGTAACGTCTGAAACGGGTCAGATATTTATACAACATGCAAGTCGAAAATATGTTAACATAAATAAAGACAAATAATAAAATATATTAGACAAAATGAAAAAATTATTAGACTTATACTTTATAAATGGATCAGTAATTATTGTATATATATATATCATTCTATTTCAGAACCCATTTAAATATGAAATCTAAAATGTACCTAATTAATTGTATATCTACTAAATAAACTATATACATTGCAGGTACAACTAAAAATAAAAACGTTTCAATTTAAAGATTTTATGCATATATTATAATATTCCATAATAATTAAAAATATTTTAATTTACTGATACCCACGTTATAAGTGATAATACTGTAATAGTAATAACTAATATTATTAGTCTGGACAATATGGAGTGAAAGTGAGAGGTTCTTGGGTCTGAAAATGATCAAGACATTATCAATTTATGCCAATTATTGTAAAGCTAAGTATCCATAGTTTTGGTGTTTTTTTTTTAAATTGTATAAATTATGATTTTGGAAATATTTTAAGAACATATAATCTAAGCTAGGATATTTAAATAGGTGATCGTAAAGGTATTGTATTTATGAGAAACTAGTGAAGAAACATCGTGCTGGTATTATGTAATGAAACATATTTAATGTAACTAAATTAAAAAAATAATAAATGTAAATTAAAAATTAAAAATTAAGACCAAATTTACATAAAATTTAATTTAATATGATAACACAATTAAATGAAATTGCCTTTCAGTTTCTTTAAAAAAGTAAAAAAAAAATTAATTTATATACCTACATTTATTGATAATAATTTATTCTAACACTTACTTTATAAAGATTAGTGTTGAATTTGATTGATTTATAAAATTGATTAAAAATTTTTTGCTTAACTAGTACATATTGATATATTCTACATTAAAAAAAAATATTAAAATTTATTTGTTATTTAAGTGTTTGTTTACACTTTTGTTTACCTACACATTTATTTACCACACTATTTTAGTTTTCTCAAGGACTATGTAATGATAATAATAATATCAATGAACTCATAAAATTAAATACATTATACTATAACTACGGCAAATTTAATTTAGAGAAGGAGATTAGTGAAATCTCAATATTGTCAATTAGCGAGAGCAATTTATTTGTTTAATGCATACAATTTAACGTAGGTTTACGATAAAATAAATTATATTTCATAAAAACAAATTTAGTTTTATTAATACAACTTTTGGAGAAATTTAATCCAGAAATTTAATATAAAAATATTCAATGTATTAATGATAATATAAGTAATTATATAATGCTTCTTTTAAAGACCAACGGGTTCCATAATAATGTCAAAATGTTTGTAAATTATTGTTAACCTTAATAGACTAACATAACTTGACGAATATCACGTTCTCTTAAAAGTCACATACTACGATAAAATACATCTAAATTCACAGAAAGTTTTACTTCATATTGTTTAGTTTAAAACCTTATTAAATTATATGACGGAGTCAGAGAAGCAATAACATAAGATTTTATTACTTTGTGTTTGAATGTGACGAATTATTAAAATAAATACAATTTATAATCTCGTATTGCAGTAAAAAAAAATTATATTTATTCAAAAGACAGGTAACAACAATATGTTTAGATCCGTGTATTGGTGTGTAATATATCATTCGTAGCAAGATCGGCTTATTATATTATACGTAGACCTTAGTGCGACGAAAAACCAAAACTGGTTGCATTATTCACCCGTTGCATTCCATGAAACGATATCTCATTTTTTATTCAAATTTATGAACACTCCCGCCATGCTACACAGTACACAGACTATAAACTCTGAAAATATACCTATATAGTTCCATGCATCATCGAATTAGACTACAAAAAACAGATCTCTATAATATCTATGAGTGAGTCATTATGTAGAAGTGTAGACTGTAGAAGTTATTACACTCATATAATATTATTAATCAGCTAATAAAATGTTTTCATGCAACGCAATATAACTATATAATTTTTAACTTCTAGGTACCTAGTAAAATCGTTATTTTATATACTTATCTGCACGTTTTTAAACTTTTTACATGCTAAGATTTTAAAAGTTAATAACCAACATTAAAAATGTGTAATTGGCGTTACGATTACTTATTCCGTGACAGTCAAACGATATGTTTAAACATTATACATAATATCTATAAATTAAAATTACTTCTTCATAAAATAATTATTGCAAATTAATGACATAGTAAGGTTATCATTTATAACACAACATCATACAATATCGTACAATATGCAATGTTCTTTTGGAAATTATTATAGCTGAGATTTTATTTTATTGTTTTTTTTTAATCCTTTAAAACGTATATGTATTTTTAAGATACCATGATGTGATTTTTAGTAATGATATAAAAAGACGGGACGAACCTAAATGTTGTTATGGATTATCCATATAGGATTATCATGTCTTCACATTATGGTTATTTATTATAAACCCTTAAAAAACAAATCAGAAATATTWATGAYAGTTTAGCATGAAAAAAAACTGGCTATATGATGTTAGCGAGACTATTATGTATACAAGAAATGACTCATCTAGTTATCTGTTGTTCACAATTTAGAATTTTATAAAGATCACAAAATTGAGTATAATATAAATGTTATATTATTTGTTTAAATAAAAAAAAACACTATGATTTGGATTAACTGAGAATAAAGAATTATAATATCTATTCACATAAYAATTATTAATAATGATATATAACTTAACGCATGAACCAACAACGAAATGGTTATAATAATAATAATAATCATAATATAATAATACCTTTTTAATATAAGTTCCAATATGTTAATAGGTCTTATCTATTAATTTGTATGAAGAAGCACGTTTAACAACAATTAAATATAAGTTCATGTTGTTAATTGAAAATCCAATTGTTATAAATCACGGATTGATCATTATGTTATAACATGTTAATAAAAAAAAAAAACACAAACTAATATCATATAATATATGGTTAAGTTAAAGCGACATAATAGGATCATGCAATACTTCTAATATACCTGACTCGCAGGGATCGGTTATTCGATTTCGTTCAGTAAATTTCAAAAAATAATACAAAACAATTTAAAAAAAAAAGAAAAGATTTAATAGCATTTGAAYGATGAATTATGATAAAATATTAGTAAATATTCGCGCAGCGTATGACCACCGTCTGGTGAAGCACTATGGATACTAACCGGTGTGTCTGGAAACGTCGGCGGAGCGGATTACGCGATCGCCGTCCTTCGCAAGCCTACTCCTACGGGGCTCTCAGCGTCAGTCCGGAGGTGGTTATACGAGCCTATATATATTGTATTGTATATTATTTTTTATGTACCTATAATTTCTATACACACACACACATAAATAAATTTATATATATAATATGTGTGTATGTATAATGTTATGTTGTGCTATTATATATATACTATGTAGATACACTGTTCTCTTATCAGACGACGAATCCCACTGCATTCCAAGTGGCCGACTCAGGACAATATTTCTGCCTCAGCGATCGCAACAAAAAGTCACCCTCTATAATCTATACATCGTGTGGTGAACATCGCAGTGGTAGGTACACCAATAATCGATTACAAAAATCGATCTCGGTGTAGAATGATCACCGCACACTAAACAAATACAATATTTTAAGGTCATTCATAATAATGTTTATAAAATATAATTTTATCGGGTAGCTATAACCTACAGGCACATTTTTAGTTTTATTGTGTTAAATATAGTATTCACATGCCATTTTGTTATTATGCGCATTTTGGGTATGTACCTATATGATATGATTTTAAAATGTTAACATTATAACACATTTACACACTAGATGGGTTTCGATGCTTATTCTCCCCCATCCTTACTATATCGCTCACTGCATAACATGTTTTTTATGCAACATTTATGATGTAATATTTTACTAAAAGCTAAATATTACCCGGCGTTGCCCGAGAAAAAATTGTGATTGTTCAACTCCTTTTGGTATAACTCGTTGTGGAAGCTATGTCTTTTTAAGTTGAAAACTATAAAGTATAAATCATATATTCATATTATATTACAATTTATAATCATCTAGCTCAGCGTTGTCCGTGAGACCACGTGTAGATTGCGGACCCCTCGAAGTGCATACGTAAGTGTACAATTTCTATCTCTTAGGTTTCAAAGTTATACCAAATTTGTCGTTTTTATTAAATCAAACCTGATGATAGGAGCAACTACTTGAGACGTCAACATGATATTTCAAAACCGATGGCACCCCGCATTTATGAACAAAACAAAAGTTTCAATTTCCCCCGTGAATCTCAAGTTTCCGGTTTGACTACCCCTTTAACATCAAAATTATTTTTAATATTTTCTTATTGCACGCTTAGACTATAATACAAACATATCTTGAACATTTTAAGTCACTAGCTATGATAGTTGAGTTTTTATTTCGTAATCATAGGTAAACTTATTTAATATAACCCATACTACCCCCCCCCACTATAAAAAAAATTGAAATTCTTATGTACGTCACTGAGCCTCGCTTTCATCCTCCCTATGAACGTTTTTCATGACAGAATTTATAGATAATATATTGTACATACTATAATGTACATGAATATAAGTAGGTACCTACCTGTAGCCTATAGGTTACCAGAAAAAAATGTTTATAATAATGAGTACCTAATAATAATAAAATTAAAGTAATTTTCTTCGCTCTATATGGCGTAAATCTATGTGCAAAAAAGCTAGACAAGATACTATAGAGATCGGGCGTCCATTCAAGGGCGTCTGAAAACTTATTAGTGGAAGGGAAATGATAATATGTTATTGTATATTATATTAGTGCCATATAGATAGACTACTTTTGAGAGTAAATTAAGATGAATGTTTTAAACATTTTTTCCCAGTCATTCAGAAAATGTCAGTAGGCACCTACTTATTTTATTTTATAAAAATCTTTTGTTTGAAACTCTATAAGGTAAAAATCMCGTTGAGCTATATACCTACCAGGAATATTAGAAGTGTAAAGGGGCAAATGCCTCCTATAGTGTGAGCTACTTGTCATCATCTCAGTCTTCTACAGATGTTACATGTGTCTTGCGTATTACATTTGATACAACCGATCACCTCGACGTATATTAACAGCAGTGGTGTAAGATGTGATAGTGTTAAAATATGTACTATTGACTATTATGCGATTACATTTAAAAGCAATGATGAACCATCTCATTAAAAAAAAAAAAAAAACAGTACTGTACAGACCTATAAATTTACTTATATGATTATATCATTCATATTATTGTGATTTTTTTTTAAACTCCACAAAAGTAATTAATATCCAAAGATTTTGATAATTTAATGAATTATTTGTGTCAAACTTCAAAGTAGTGCTTAAAATGCAATACTAAAAATTAAGTATATTAAAATATTATGTAGAAATACATTTTTTTTTTAAACCGCAGAAATTCAAATTTAAACTCTCTAAATAGGAACAAAAATGTTGATGAGGTAATTAAATATTTGAGATTTTTAAATATAAAGATTGCAATAATATAATAGTTATCCTGTTTCTCATTGTATTCAACTTTTAGGTATTCGTTACTAAAAATCAATTTTTAACATTTAAAATTAAAAAAATTCACTGTTAAGTAAAATTTTCGATTGTAAACATAACCAAAACGCCAAACCCTGTTTTCAGTAAATTTACTTGTATTTTTTTAAATCTTCTGGGTTTAAAATTCTAGATCTTTTTGATATGAAATCCATTGGTGTCCATTGTGAAAATTCATAATTCTTCTAAATGTTATATTAAGTTCTAATTTATTAATATTGAATTATTTATTGAAAAAAAAAACTATTTCAATATGCACAAAGGTAGATACTTACCTAAATTAATGGTAAAAATGTTATATATTTAATTATATATTATAAAATATTTTAATGTAAATACTAAAATACTCAATACTTTACATAAAATCCAGGAAAATGATTTAGACTTAATCAGAGCATTATTTATTAGTTATTACTATAATAACTTATTAACATCTCAAGATTGGGAAATTAACAATGAACTAGATAATTATCTTTACGAATTATGTGTATATTAACAATAATTATTTATCTGGACTAGGAAAAACGTATTTCTATAAATGGCCAGATATCATTTTATTGATAAATGGTAATGCCATATTCATACAGTGCGTATTGTATAAGTATGATTCTATATTAATCGTATGCTACCATGAAACGATTTGTTCGATCTATCCCAGTTACATGTTATCATCGAAGTCCAATGGTACATGAGTGAAGGGCGAATATTATGTTACTAAGACATAAATGGTTTGACGTTTGCAGAAGAGGCACTATATATAGTTTGATCATAATTATTACTTTATTCTATTATTCCATAAAAATATAATTATCATTGTACAAACAAATACAATTCTTTATGATGTAGGTTTTACCTGAATTCTCGAAAATAGTTAATGACTACTAAGTTACTCATTAGAGTTAAGTGTTAAAAGTATTTATCGTTTGTATGCCATTTATGTGTGAAATAAATATGATTAAAAATCTAAAAGCGAGTAATCAGCAATATATAGTATGAACAGTACCTATTTCGTACCAATAATATTTTATTTGTATACCTATAAGAACTGATTTTTATCAAATCGTGTCAATGGTTCATGCAAATACGTCCATTTTTTAATTTTTGTTTTTAATGTGCGTATATTAAACATTATTATTTATTACATTAAATAAGTGATAAAAATAATTTTTTTAAATACTTATTAATATTCACGTGTTCGGTATACCTATATTATGTAAAAAAAATAGGYGTGTTTCATTTATGATTTTTATTACACTTGTCATGACGATCGATACAATATGATTGATATAAGATATAGATGTAAGCATTATAATATTGGATATAAATTATTAATAGACATAAATGAGTGGGAAGTGTGAAAATCGTGGTGTTGGTGAATAAGATATAATATTATTTTAACATAAGATACACCTTTTGATTATGATAACAATGGAAATTATATTTTAAAACACTTATTTGAGTTGAATATTACTATTTTGTATTTGTATACACTACATAATACCTATATACTCAATAATGCTAAATGAACATAACTCGTATATTTAATTTAAACATTTTTTTTTTACAATTTTAAAAATAATTTAACAAAATTGTATATTTTAATTGCCTGAGAGCTAAAGTTACTTTGACTAATTTTTAAATAAAAACTAAATGTTTAAACTACTTATATTTTAACTAAAGATTATAATGACTATGTTATGTTATAAAAGTTTGACAAATAGTAAATACTACACTTAAAAAAAACATAAATTGTACTTTTGATTAAAACCCAATAATGTCTTTAATATAAAACCAAATTTAAAATAAATAGGGAAATTAGTTTTTAGCTAATAAAGGTAGAAATCATATTAAAAAAAAATTGCTCCAACATACCATGTATACTTATTATTTAACAAGTATTGGCCAAATCATTCAATAAGATATACACAATTTGAAATTTCCTCTAGTCTTGCGTGAAAGTTTGGAAAAAAAATGAAAAAGCAATGTTCAACATCGAGGACAATTGAGATTAATGTTGTTTAGAATAATTCGAAGGCCAAGGACTCCTCTTCAATACTATTTTTCATTTTATATCAGTATTGCCTGTTAAGGCTATATCCATTTTAAATGACTCATATATGCTACTTTACTTGTCTTTTAATTTCCAAATTAAACTAAATTGTATTCCCATTATTACTTATTATTCGCCAAGCATAAAAAATAATTTATTCACTATTGTATTAGGTACTATATAGTACGGCAAAACAAAATTTTAATTTGAATAAAATATAATATGAATGCATTATTATATACAATAATAATAGTAGGTATTTTTTTAAAATAATCATAGCGAACCTATGTATAAAATTATAAGATAGATATTGAGTT